TTGGCCGGGGCTCTGAGCAACCTGATCCAGTTGAAGATGTCCCTGCCCACGGCAGGGAGGTAGGACTGGATGACCTTTAGAGGTCCCTTCCAACCCAAACTAGTCTATGATTCTGTGATTCTAACTTTGTAGTGGTGAAATAGGTGATATTTATCTTGTTAATGTCTTTTCATCGGTGTTTCCTTAATGCACTAAGTACATTGTGGGGATACGTGCAGTGGTTATATGAACCTTGACTTTATTCACAACAGGTATATCGGGATGCAAAATCAGGTGGTCCTTGCTGGCTGTTAGTGAACAAACTACCGATGATCAGGGATTCCCCCTGCCCACCTTCCCCACCTGCCAGTTTAACTACTACAAGTTTCTGGCACAACTTCACAGTTTCTACTGAGACATGAAGAAAAAAAACCAAGTGTAAATCTGATAATAGCTTGTATGGGGCTTAACAAAACAAAACTTTTGAGCTAGTTTCTATTGGTACCTGTATGTTATAAATTCTGGTTGTCATCTATTTGCCTGCTGGGCATTGGCATTTAAACAAAGCATGTAGAATTTAAAATATGTGCTTGATTTTTTGAGTCCAGCATTTAAGTTTATAAATCTTGTGAGAGTTTGGGTTTGGTTTGGTTTTGGTTTTTTTTTTAAATCTGACGTATATGCCTCTCCACATACTAAGCATCCTATGTCTTCATCTGGTGGTGGGCTGCGGGGAGCAGGATTTGCCCTGTTTGCAGGGTAGGATGCTGCAGGGAGGGTGCCCTGGCCAGCCCTGGGGCTTGGCGGCACTGTAGCGCGACAGGGGAATTTGGCAAACATCTGTGGTGAGGGAGCTCCAGTCGAACTGGTTCCAGTGCTGATCACGTCTGAACGGTCCCCAGACATTGGTTTCAAGATCCAGGCGAGGCTTTCTTTAATCTTGGTGCAGGGAATGGCTGTAAACATTTCTGTAGCTGTTCAGGCTCAAGTCAAGCTGGTTAAGGTAATGTGAAATTCAAGGTCAAAAGGTGAAATGCTGCTAAATTTAAGATTCAAGTTTATGCACATGAGTAAATGGTTACTTGGATCGTTTCCATTTCAGACGCACTAAGTAAGGTATGGCTCTTCCAGCGTCCGTCTCCCCCTGCAGCTGGGTACTGTAGTCATTTCACAGGAGTTATGAACTGAAAAGGTCCTCCCCAAACACGTTTTCCCAAGTATGCAAGCCAAACCGCTCTTGTGCATCCAGGCTTGTATCTATAAATGTTTGGATGTGGCTCAGCAGGTTCACTTCATCATCCCTTATACAGGATTAAACAGTGTATTCTCCTGTCAGATTTTTTTCCTACCACTTGTCTTCAAACAGTGGAAAAACTCAAGCGTTAGAGATGCTTGTGGTAAGAATCCATTCACAGAGATACAAATGTACTTGATGGGATCCTCTCTTAGTGGGAGAGAGTGAGGTTTTGGTGCTCTGTGTGTGTTTGGGGTTTCTTGTTTGCTTGGTTTGCTTTTGGGTTTTTTTTGTGTCAGAGTTTAAAGGGACAAAACTAGACTACCAACAGAAAAGTAGGGAACCTTTTTCCACATGGGTACTGTACTCTTTGCCCCAGCATGGTGTTGGGGTGACGATGCTGTTGGTCCTTTCTGGAGGGTTTGCAAAACAGACCATCTGTCTTTTAAACAGCTCGTGACATCCTCGGTTTGATAATTACAGGCTGTCTATACGGCTCCCAGACATGTTTAAATCATATGGTCATACCGGGTATAACTCTTCCATTTCTGCTTCCAAGCTGGCGTGTGGTTTGTTTGTTGCTGAGTAAATGCAGTCATGGGATAGAGATGTCTAAATTTAGCAGAAGGTGAGGTTCTCTGTTGCAGTGACCCACTGCAGAGGAGGCACGTATGAGGAGGGACTCAATAAATGCAGGAGTCTGAGACTGGTGCCTCCTCCCCGGCTCCATGGTAATTGTTGCCACCCTGTTAATTCCCTGCAGTTGCTATAGGTGATGCCAGGCGCAAGCTCAACATGAGATCTTCCTCCCGTCTCTGGGAATCTGGTAGCCAACACCATAAGGAAGAGTTGATGGGAAACGGCATGCTGGCTATGAATTAAAGCATTGGCTCTGGGTCTTCTCCAGTAGTGTTAACTTTCCAAGTATATCCTTCTCTCGGAAGATATTTTAGATTACTTTTTTTAAATTGATGAAACCTTTCACTTGCTGCTCATCTCTTTTTCTACTATTTCTTGGCACCATTTGATTACATTGTGCTGATTTAATGTCTCTCTTTCAAAGCAAATTAATATTAAAAGTAAGCTTTGATGCTTCTGTGAGAGTATCTTTTCCCTTTTCAGTAGGTTTTTGCAGATAAAAGTGCTTTTTAAAATTTTTGTTATTTTTTAATATAGCCTTCTTAAAAACTGCCGGTGGTAAGTATATACTGCTCAATTTAAAGGAATTTTTCAAGTAAGATTTAGGGAAATAACTTCTCAGGCTCATCTTGATTTACACCTGCTGCTTTCATACAATTCTGTCCCAAAAGAGCAAATTTGACTCCTGTGCATTGTTCCTTCATTTGCCATCTTCATTATTTTTCTCCTTTTATTTATTCTTTTCCATTTTCCTCTTACTACTAAGAATTAAATAACTTGCATACTTGGTTATCACTAACGAAGCGGGATCTAAAGTCTGTCTGACTTTCAGTAGTTCCAGAAGTGAAATTAGACCCAGGTTTCATCCTGGATGAACAGCAAGCTTTCGCCAGCCACAAATATCTGATACTGAATGACAGTGGTTGAACTTACTAAACATGGGAAAAAAATCAACAAGTGTATGGAACTGATGAGCAGGGCTTGGTTCATTAAACTGCTACTTAGGCTAATGTCATAAAGAGCAGATTGGAGTTACGAGATGTTGGGTTTGTTGCTCTCCCCAAAAACCTTCCTCAGGGGGAGTTCACTTACCTCAAACACCTGAAAAAACAGGTTGGCAAATGCAGCCTTCTCTGACTGCAGTGGAGACACCGAGGTGATACATGCTCCAGAGGAGCTGGAGCTGGGTGGGAATACGTGTAACACCCAAGCCATGGAACCAGCAAATACAGGCACGTTGTCTCCTTGCAGAGACTTCGGCTGACCGAAAGCTGTGTGGGAGCTGGTCTGCTGCCGCAAGTCAGACACGAGGCTTTCTTCTCCTCTTCGGATTTCCTCTCGAGTCTTTTGGCAAAAATAAAACTGGAAGGAAACACCCTAGAATTCATACAGTGGCACAGGTACGTCATGTATATAATACATTTGGTACAAATACAGCTGTAATGAAATTTTTCTGGAGAATAAATAGAAACTGTGCATGTGATGGAAACACGCAGGTGCTGTTATATGGGCAGCTAACAGGCTGTCCCCTGAAAAGCTGAAAGTCTTCTCTGGCATTAGGAATCTAACTTTGACCAGATGTTGATGGTAATTGAGTTGCAATACCATGATGGGAATTGCCCAGTGGGAAACAACTTAGCTTTTAAAATGTCTTAACTTAAACCTTGATTTAGTGTATTGCATAAAAGCAAGCATGACTTGTATTTGATACATCCTCTTTTTTATTAGTACTCTGCAAAGAAAAGTTCTTACGGTCCAGAGAGAGAGAGAGAGTGTATTTATTTCAGCTCTGTGCTTCCCCAGTACTTTTTCTACTAGCATTGCAGTTCATATGTGCGCAGAATGGTTTACCTCGGAAGGGACCTGGAGATCACCCAATGCGGGCTTGACTTAAAAAGGTTCTTCGGGGTCTTGTCCAGTTGAGCCTATGCTGGCATGTAGCAGTGTAGCTCTTCCCAATCATTACTCAAAGGTTTAAGTTAAAACGTTTACTTGGGAAGCAAATATTGAAGATTTTACATAAAAACTGCATGCACAAATACATACTCCCTCATGCTCGTGTATATGTAATATATTACACTCAAGTGCATGGAGCAGGGAAATATTACTATGACCACACTTGTGGAAATATTTGAATTTAGCTTACTTTACGTAAACACTCTGGCCTTAAACCCACAGTGTCTGGTAACATGTATAGTGCAGCAGTCACTACGCTATACTGTCAGGACAAATGCTTGAAGGGGATGTCAGTGTTTCCATTTCAACCCTCTCAAGCAGGGGGTCCTAGCTTAGCCTTAAAATTTTCCTCTGAAATATTTTCTCAAAGGAATATTCTATGAAAAACTGCATGTTAAAAGGGGTGAAATTGGTTACCCTCCGTTGCCACCCCAATAATTCGGTGGAGTAGAGAGAGCTCCCCTGCTTCCCATGCTCGCTTTGGCTGGTTGAGACACGCGTATCGCTAGAGCACAAGTGTTTGAGATCTGTTACGTATGGGTAAGTTCCCTGCCGAAACGTTGTAGAGAAGCTGAAAATCTGTTTGCAAATCTAGCCATGAGAAGCATGTTAAAAACCCAGTGCTAATCCAAATTGTATGGTTAAGACTTCATCTAGCTATTGAGAAAACAGGAGCAACGTCCAGCATGTGCCTGAAATGCTCGATTTCTTCCCCCACCCCGCCTCCTGCTTCCCCATTTTGTTTATTCCCGCTCCCAGGATGCTTTCTGCTGTTATGGCCCAGTTGCTTTAACACCCATAGTTCCTCAAGCTTTTGCATTGTATTTAAATCCCACCCCGAGAAGCTCACAGGTGTATGTTCTCGTACCTGACACTGTTTCACATAAATCCAGCTGCCAACCAAGAAGCGGAAAGTGTCCAACTGACCCTTGCATCTGATCCAGCCTTTCACGCCAAGGACCAAAGGCAACAGCAAGATATTTTGGGACAAGGACAGGATGTTAGTCTGGTGTGTCCTTCCCTTCACACACAAACCAACTTCAAAAGGACTGTACTGATGGAGAAGGTCCTGTGGACAACCCTCCTGTGCACGGTCCCTTATGGCAACGGGCAGGGACCAAATGCGTTAAGTGGTTTAAGAGAAAAAAATGGTCACTAAACAGACAAGATGGTAGACAAAGAGAGAACAATATTAAATAATGGATGTACTTTATTAATGAATTCAGACTTGAGGCAGGCACCACTTTTGCAAACTGAACATCAGTACACACATACACTTCATTTTCATGTTCGCGGCAACTGAGATTCTTGGATTTTGAATTTTAAAATACAAACGAAGAAACCCGTTGTATGTAGTCTGATGTATTTCAACGTCACTAGTTTTCTGAAGTCCAGCAGTAGCAGTTACAAAGTATTCAGTCACTACAGAAAGCAGATATGATAATAAACAACAGCGTGGTTCTTAACACGCTTCAGCAAACGCAGGGATAAGCACAGCAAGCCCCTTACAAAGCTGCCATTCTGCCATGTCACAAAACTGCTCAGAGCAGATGCAAAGGCGGGAGTCCCTCACCTGCAATCGCATCTGTGTAGCAACAAGTGACACACCTAGCAGTAACACTTACCCTAAAGATTTCATTTTAAACCCTTCTTGCTGAAGGCTTTTGGCCTCGGAACTAGGGCGGCCCAAGGGAATGTACCGTGGCAGTTTCTGTAGCTCAGCTGATGGCCAATAACTCATTCCCTTTGGATTATGAGACAGAGTCTGCATGCCAGCATGGATTATTTTAAACAAATCTTCTACTAAAAATGAACTGAAAGAACCAAAAATGTAACGGCTCAAGGGATTCTGCAGATCATTAACCAGATGTGGGGGGGAAGCTATGACAAAACAAGAGAGGGTCATTCCAGCTTTCCTTGAATTATTGAAGCTATCAAAACAATATAACAAACCCTGTGCACATGACAGTAGAAAAAAAAATTACAGGATGTTTGTCAACTCTCAACTAACTGAGCCGGAATGGTGTTTTAGAAAGACTGATGGGTCAGATAAACAGTCCCAGCACGCGTCGCCTGAAGGGACAATACGGAGACTACAATATAGAAAGTGCGTAGGTATCAAGCAGTAGTTTGAAACTACTTATAAAACCTGTTGCTCAGACATCCATATCCCATATGGACGCTTCACAGGCAGACAGCTAGTGCCACGTTTAGTATCTCACACTGCACAGAGATAGGTCCCACGCAACTGCAGTGACCACAAGTAAGGCACGGTTATGGTTTTCCAAATTTCTCCAGGCAAGATGGAGGGAAAACCTCATTTATTTTTCTTGAAAGAATGCTACTAGGAAAACTATGGCTGGAAACCACACTTACTTTCTTCTGTAATTCTTCGGATTTTTCTAGGCTAGATAGCTCAGTATGTGCAGGACTAAATTACAACACAGTTATGTATATGAATGACGTCGTTGTATTTTGGGGCACAATTTAATAGAAAACATCAGAAATCTCTCTCCCCAGTAGCTGAGAGCCACACTTGAATCTTGCTTTCTACTGATCATGTTTGTCCTGCCCCAATGTAATTAAAGCATCCCCAGTCTAGACCATTATGAGCTCTATCGTCTAATCAGGCTAAAATATCAACTAGCTCTATTTTTTGCGTTTATCTTCACAGCAGTCCCCACGGTGCTGGGGGACCACGCTATGAATAGAACAGTTCTGAAATGCAGTCAACAGACATTTCCGTGGTACTCCAGGGAAGGCACAGATAATTATTTTAATTGTCCCCAGTTCGCTCTTCTGTCCATAATTATAGTTTTGAGTTTATAAATAACGAAGCATGATTTTAAAAACCAAAACAAGCCCCTCAATTACAACACAGTTCCTGAGATAATTAAGTCTCCAAATGTGACTGCATAGAAGGGAACCAAAACTACATTGCAGAAGCCCGTAACATACAGATGTGCGTAAGCAGAGCAAAGTGACAGGATGGAAAACGTCACCAGGAAAATAAACTCTCTCATCATTATTTCACTGCTTTTTACCTAAAAAACACAGTGGTCTATTGTCTTGATTCAACCTATTGTTCTGTTGCATTTTTTGTTATTGAAGGAACCAACAGTCAGTCAGTGAGAGTTTCCTGAGGAGCAGCAGCTTGGAAAGCTAAATGCAGTATCCTGTGCCTAGGGCTTGTTTTGCTGCAGATTTAGGAAAAACCGGACAAGGTAAGTTACTGAGGTAAATTAAAGCACACGGTTTAGGATTTAACTTGTTTGAATACCCCCTTCAAATAGAAAACACACTCCAGTTTTACAAGTATGGTGGTTAAAACCTGCAAAACAAAGCAGAACAAAGCCCTGCCCTGTCGCATCCTTACTTGATGGACGTGCCTCTGTTGTTACGGGGTGTTGCGTACTGCCAGGGACAGGACAAGAAAAACTCTAGGTCGGGAGCCAGCACAGCAGGAGGCTTCATTAGCCATGAACAGGAGCAAAACAGGGCTTCAGAAGGAGCAGTGCCCTCGCTGAACAGCCAGCTTCACCACAACAAACGCGTAATGAGCTGGACAGCCTGTAACATACGCTTTGGATAAACAGAGACAGCTATGGCTTAAGTGTTTCAAAAGATCTTTGCCCAACAAGGAAACAAATTATATATTAAAAACCTTTTACAAAACACATGCTCTGTTCTTTCTCTGCTTAATATCTTCCTTGCTTGAAGCTTGGCTGTTGCCCAAAAGCATCCAGAGCAACGCTCGATGATAACTCAAAAATGTGCAGTTGATCTGTGTGTAGTTTCAGCTCCTGAAGGCCAGGAGCGAAAGTGTATTTTTCAGAGAGAAATAGGCTTGATCACACAGTACAATCATGTTTACACAAGTTTTTAGATGGCCAAGATAAGGGAAATACTTCTGTAAACTCCTTTGAAAAAAGACAAAAACTCTAAGGTGAAAATTTTCTCTCTTTTTCAATGTCGTTTTACCCCCAAACAACTATAGGCCCCAGTAGAGAGCTTTCTGCACTACAGCGAGAAAAACTTTAGCTTGCTTTTTTTTTTTTTTTAACCTTACAGCTATATTTCATCATAAAAACTAGTTTGAAGAAAGAGTAAACTTTTGCTCTTTGGTCTATCTTGACATTCCTCCAGAGACACGTAACAGTAATATTTCAGATTCATTTTTGTCTCCTACTTGCAGGAAACAGGAAAGTTGCAGTCCTTAATTTCCAGGCTTCTGAAATGAGAAAGATAAAGAATTTATACGTTGAAACAAGACATCTTTGCTTTCTTTAAAGAAAAAAATAAAAGCAGAAGTATCACAACCTAAAAGCATTGTTTTAGTGAAATTGGATATTTTTGCTTTAACCATTAAAAACCAAAACATTTAGTTATGCCACATGCACCTCCCATTTATTATCTGTGTAACCCTACGAGGTGAGAAACAAAAATCTGTACTCATATTCCAGTATGATATGGACTTCAGACTGTACATTATTGTAGTAATTGCTGCTGACTGAAACCCAATACCGTGGAATGAGACTAACAGAAGTAGTTTTTTGTTTCACAGGATCAATTTTGTGGATGTAAAGGAAAGGTCTTTAAACACCTTCTATCCATATCTGAATGAATTAAGATGAAAACATCTAACAAATGGTTTGCAATTTTAGGACATTGGTTTTGGTGGGCTGCTTTACAGCTGTGAAGATGCTCACAGTCAGGGCTCTGGGATTCCTCTCACGTTCAGAAAAGCTCTGAGGGTGGCAAAATACCCATGCTGTCTATTACAATCATTCTGATGCTCTGCCAATTTTGAAGAGGAGATGAGTGCAAGAATATATCTGCAACTGTGGACAGCCACGGCCTTACTAAGTCACAACCAACTGAGGAAAACAACCACCCCCCACCATCAACCCAGATACCCAAAGCCAAACTGGCACAGTAAGAGCAGGCACCTGCTGCCGCTGATTACATTAGAGGGATCCTTAGAGCTCACAAGGGTCCCTAACAGACTTTTTTTCAGAGTGCGTCAGGTTCATAAATTCCCCTCCCTGTGCAAATAATACTTTTTAAAAAAAAAAAAATTTCTTCCTACTGGCAGACTTGTCTCTATGTAAGTCTTCTTTTGACTGGTGCTATCTACAGATAGCTCCTAAGGAAACAATTTCAACTTTCCTAGTGTATGAGCTGGGCAGTATAATTTAAATAGGGTAGTGGCCAGTGATGAAGAACTAGCCAGATTCCTTTGGGTTCATTTCCAGATATTAATGTTTCACTTTTTTAACAGAGCATGTTGCTCCTACAGAGAGACTGTAATATTGTGTGTTCCATGTATTAGCTATTTGTCAACAGAAAAAAACAGAGCTGACTTTTCTGACAAGTTTTTGCTTGTATGACTTTTTAGAGTACGTTCTAATGACCAGTATTCTGCAAATTTTTGTGAGAAGTGTCATCTGCTTCATTAAAGCAGTGAAGTGGTGGAGAAAAATCAGGGAGGCTAATGACATCCAGTGTTTCAGCTCAGTAAGAGCCCCACACAGCTACCCTAGCAGCAGGAACTTTTGCCAGTATCTCTTTCACAAGTCTCGTGAAGCTATGCGTTGCAGAGGAGGATATAAACTGCACACTAAAACAACTGTTCTCAGCTCTGCACGCATGTTTATAATGAAACATCTGCAGCTCTTCCACAAATCTCTAAATATTTTTCAATTACCACATCTTAAAGATTTGAATCGTTCCTAATGAGTTGGCACAATATCATATTACTAGAAATCTTACATTGTACACTAAACCCCTAAGAAAGTAATTCAAACCAAATGAAAAAAAAACCAAAACAACCCCTCAATCTGCCATCATAGAAACAAACCCACAAATACCTCAAAGCGTAGCATCAGCTACAGTGTGGGTTCACTTCAGTGAATGTGTGAAAGCAAAGAATAACACTAAACTTCTCTACAGAAAGTTGGGAGTAAAGATGATGCAGGAATATTGTTTCGCTCTTTATCCAAAATGAGAAGTGTACAAATCTAGCACATGAACCGGATGAATTTTAGAGCTGATGAACACTGACTACCTTGTGTGGTGCTCACTGGGTATTACAATACTCCAGGCATTTATTTAAATTGTTAGAGGTAGGAACACAGGTGAGTATGTGCCTATATTGATGAAAAATATATATGATCAAGCTGGTTTTTTTCTTTACAAGGCTTAAACTTACTGAATCATTCATCTGTCTGATGCCTCCATAATGAAATTAAAATAATTTATTAACAGTTGGATATAGACACTATTTCCTATCTGACTATTATGTTTTTGTGACTTTGTTAGCATTTCTTTTTACATCTGAGAAAACACCATCACTGACTAAAAGCCAAGTTTAACATTTTCATTTCATGCACAACTTCAAATGAAAGAGCTTCACAGTTGGAATGGAGTATTTCATCTGCTTAATTGTAGATGTTCTTCAAAACTCACCAATCCATGGTTTGGATAGATTTGTGTAAGACTAGGCAGTAAACACCCAATTAAGCAAGCTATGTGAATCTGCATATAGATTTTACATTAGGATTCTACAGTCATTTCAAATGATTCAGAAGTAATTACATGGCTGACACATGATGAATCAATATGCATGCATGAAGCCATCAGACACATAACGCACATCAGTAACAAAAATGGGATATATGCCAAGAAGTGGTATGCCTAACACTACCCAGCAACAGAACAGTCAGTGACGGTTTGCACATAAGCTAGTAATTACCTGTGCATGCTGGTTAACTTTCAAGCTAACTGCTTTTTACTTGCCCTGACGGGTACACACGAAATGGCAGAATCTGCTCTCACCAGATGTTATGTGAATGCTGTGACATTCAAGTATGGGCAAGTGAACAGTTAATTTGGTCTGAACAGTAATCTCACTGGGTTGTGCAAACCTCTCCCCTCCTCCAAACAATCCATCAAAACACAGAAACAGAAAATTAAAGCCGGTTCTCTCAAACCAGAGTAGGCTAGAGCAGGGCTCAAGCGCCTGGGCACATCCACCTCAAAGCTGTGGCTGACCTGGGGTTCCATCACAGTCCTATTAGCTCATAGTAATATTGTTGTTCGGTGTAAAAGTAACCGTTTTACTCTCCAGACCGATTTATTGGGCGAAGGGAGAGAGTTAAGTGATGAGAGGAGAGAGTCCCATCACAGACGCACATGGTTTGTTTCAGTCAGGGTTACATCCTCTCTTACTCCACTTATTATGTTACAAGGTTAAAATGGAGTAGCATGGAATATTTTCGTAACAACTTGGATTTTTAAGTGAGGAACATGTGCTACACGAAATCAAAGCAGGACACCAAGAAGATTAAGTGCTTAGAGAAGGGGAGGAGGTGGCGGGGGAACTGCACCCTTCCAGGAAAAGGGAGAGAACCCAGCATGAAAAACAGACAGGCTAAGAGGACAGATTTGCGTTCCTGAAATGCTTGCTACCATTTGAGAGAGATGACAGCAATCAGGAGAAAAACCATGAAAAAACAAAGCAAAGCTCAGGAACAAGCTGAGAAACATCTCCCCTGATATCTAGGTAATGACAGCAACACACTGCCACACAAGAGTAGCATCAAAGATGAATTAGATTAGTTCTTTTGAGGCGACTAACATGACATGATTTCTTCAGGCTGGCTTTTCCGTACCCGAGAGTAGTACAATTGCAGAGCCAGCTCCTCCTCATGCCAAACTGACAGAGCCAGGAAATCTAAAAGGTACCTTCAATGAGCATCATCAGTGCACACCAGCAAAGTGCCGGCCACCATTCAGCAAACGAGAAACCCATGTGATAAAGTGCACATTATGAAATATTCCCCCAAATTCCCCCAAATTGTGTGAAGTCCTCAATGAAATTAGGGCCTAGATAAACTCCTGACAACCCTTTTTATGTACATATTAGAGACAAACATCCTCCTCCAAGCTGGAACAGGAAAATAGAGGCTGTTGACCGACCTGAATTTGGACGTCACTCTCAAAACAATCCTTTCACTTGCTCTGTGACGGGGTCGAGGTCAATGTCATAGAAGCACGGCCTCGTGGGCAGTCCTGGCATGGTGCTCATCTGTGGGAACAATAAAACGAAGTTATACTCCTGCACCTGTAAGCAGATAATCACTCCACCCATGTAAACCTTAGATTAAGAGAAAAGGTGGATTGTTCATCATGGACTCAACCACAGATGTGATCTTCACCACATTTTTTGTTTCTGTTAAAAATGTCAAGCTTGGCACTTTTTTGATTCATTTTTAAGTGTATGCTTCTGAAAGACAGGAAAGAGAAAATAAAAAACCACAAAATACAGGCTAGCACAGCAACCTAAGAAAAAAACTCCTTAACAAAATGAAGACACTTTGGGACTTTTTTGTTCCTCGGAATATTTATCCAGAACATTTATCCATTTATATCTACTGGGAAAAAATCACCCAGCAAAGGGCAAGGACATAATTGCCTGAATTCACCTGGTGATATGAATGTATTGAACTCAGACCTCTCCCACAGAAAACCAGAATATAGGAGCAGAATTAATCGCAACACTTTCATGACTGATTACTTAATGTATGGAACAAATTGAAATAGTTCAACTAAACATACGTGGATTACAGTTGAATCCTAATTTAGTAGTTAGAATTAGCAGGTTGAGCTATGAAGCTAAAGCAACCCAATTATCTCGAACTATGCATAATTAAGATCCTGATCTAGCATAAGACACCAGCATCTGCATACTTTTAAACATGTAAATAGTTTCATGGACTTAAATTACACAGTTAACTACAGCTCTGCTCATGCTACTTAGACTATTACTTACAACTGGCATTTTAGCAGCAATTAGAGACACGTGGGTGACGTGGAAATCTTGAGGTGCTGGTCCATGATGGCTTAAGCCACTTTAAATCAGAGGTACCCCAGCTTCTCACCTCCCCTGCCCCAGGACTCCTTCCTTCTCCCTTGTGAAGGAGATGCCTGGAGAGCAGGTTCAGCAGAATAAGGCTATTTTTCGATCTGCTTCATCTTCTCCTGTTTCAGGAGCCAGGAGGGGCTTCCCTGGCCCCAGTGCCAGCACAGGGTAAAGGCTGCGACTGTGGGGCAGTTTTAAGGCAGGACCAGTTTGGATCAACCTGAACCGCTTTGGATTCACACCCTAAGTCTTCTTAAGATGACAGTTAGAAGCCCGGAATATCTCACCGTATTTTCACTAATTCAAGGCACTCTAAAAATAGCATTTGGGCTCAAGGACTCCATAAACCCTTTCGATATCTTATCCTCAGAGGTGGAGGATGGCCAAAGAGATGAAAGACATTACAATCTCTGGAAACAAACCTGGAGTTCAACTTAGCTCAACTGTTTGTTGGCTAAGAGCCTTTAAAGGATTAAAACTTATTTAACAGATGCTAGATTTTGAGGAACAAAATTTTAGCTGGGGCAAGTCAGCAGAGCTCGTTAAAATTGGTGGTTAATCTGACCCCAGGAGGTAATCTTCAAACATGGCTGCTTAGAAAAAAAGAATCACACTGGCTCGAGTACCAGAAACACTCCAAACACAATAACCTAAGGAAAGGGTCAGATTAGGGTACGTTTTCATGATGTGAGCTGAAACCCATTGCTGAAAGAGGACAGTTTCACCCTGTGAGCCCCTGGAATGATTCCCCCTTGGAGCTGGCTCTGGCACTCATCTTACTGCAACCATCCTCATTCAACACACTGAACTGACGAAAATACACATTTTTGTGGCCAGGGTTGGTCGGCTGATGAATTAAATCTGCTTACTGCATGTCCAGATCACCACCAGGCCACTGGCTGCAGGGGAGTGCAGGGGAGCAGCCAGAGAATGCCGTGGCCAGCCATCACCTCCCAGCAGAGAGCACAGGGCCGGGCGGCTTCCTCCCTCCATCCTCTCTCATTCGCCAAGGAGCACAGCTCAGCTATGGTGTTTTCTCAAAGGCAAGCTCTAACAGGCTAATTGGCCTCAAAAGAGGAAAAATACATGACCACCATCCTAGCTCCTCCAGAGAGCCAGATTTACAGGCCCCCCTTGGGCTGCAGCAGGCTGTATTTCTTTATAAGTCAACCTGTTTTGCTGCATATCAGTGATTGAGTTAGCATCTCCCTTACGCTTCAGCTTCGCTCCGAATGCTCGTGTAATGTTTCCATCGTGGGAATACAAGCAAACTGTAAGATCTCTCCACCACAGTCCCATTTACTCCAGAGAGCTCTGCTGCCATTTCAGAGGTTAACCCCACATGGGGAAGGGGGAAAGGAGCTCGGGGAGCTCAGTAGCAGTGCAGCCGTCATCTCACTTGAGATCTAGCTCTGAGAAAAAACAATGCAACAAGCTCTTCTAGTGGACTCAGTACATTTCCTCTGTTTTTAAATATAGTCCTTCCTGATCTTTTGTTATTGCACGCAGTAGGATTAAAAGACAAAACTGTCAGTTTGCATTGACCAAACCCTGCCGCTGATTGCATGACATCATTTTATCGGCTGACATTGCCTTGCCATCTTAGCTAAGTACTAAAACTCCTTGTTACTATTCTTCATCCGTTGGCCACACTAGTTGGACTACTACATTATTAGGGTTACTGAATTATTTTCTGTCTCAGATTCATCCCAGTTTATGAGTTAATGCTTGACAAGAAACTGCCTTAATGAATTACATTTTGCTGGGAGGGGAATGAACAAATTGCCAAAGACAACTTTCTGGTTACTCTGTGTATGGCAGTTCTACATCCGAAAGTAAACTCCCACATACCAGGTTCCCCCTTTTTTTTTTTTTTTTTT